TACTGCAGTGCAAAGTCATGGCTCTGAGTGGTAAAATACCTTGGCCCCTCCACAGGAATGGGATGTTTGGCACTGGCTGTTAGTCCACGTTTTGATGCTTTGAAGCTATGTTTTGAAACCCAGTTCGTTTGTCTTCAGCTGGAAGACGTTCCCATTTTCATTCCGGCTGAATTCCTTTTCTGCATCAAACCCCATCTTCCTGTTTGTAATTGTGAGAAAAGTGGCTTGTTTTTATCTACTTTGAGTTTACTCTAGCTGCAGGTGGCTTAAAAATGAGGGAAAGACGGAGAGGAACCGGCGTGCCTACGGGACAGCTGCACGTGGGTCGGGACGGCGAGCTGGCCCCGCAGCATGTCGGAAATCACTGGGGAGTTGGAAATACAACTCAGCTACAATGTTTGCTGAACCTTGACTTTGTAGAAAAAGAAAAGAAAGTAGTAGGGTGTTTTTCACACTGCTTTCATCTTTTAAAAGGTTGAGACTTGGGAATCTGGTGGGCTGCCTAGCTATTGATTTAGAAGTAAAGCTCTTTTATGTACGTCTTACGGTGTCTGCGCCTGCGTACAGCGTTCAGCTCAGTTTCTTGAGAAACACTGTGAATGTGCCTGTGCCACGGAGCTTACAGCTCACCTGGCTTTAGAGTGTTGAACTCGGACATGGGCAATAGTGCAGCCATGGTAACCTGGTATTTCGGGTACGCTGCGGGTTTCCTTTAGGAGCCCAAGGTAACGTTTGGACGACTAAACTGAGCTAACTGGTGAACAAGGTCCTGACCAAGGATTTGGGCATGTCAGTGCGAGCTCTGAATTAATATTGCAAGCAAGCTCTAATACACAGCTTCAAGTATTTTCTGGAGCTCCACGTGCTGAAAGGGAATTCAAACACGTTACAGCCTTTTATAGATTAAATGAGGGACTAATATAAGATGTTTATGTTTTAAAATTCAGGAATCTGCACGTGAGTATATAATTCATCTACAGGTGTAGCTGCATTTACTTGACTGTGGTAGCCCTTTGCCAAGTTCAGTTATGTCAAAGGATCCCAATTCAGATTTGAATCAATCTATCCCAGCTGTATGGGGATTGAGGGAAACCCACTTCATGGCTGCAGGCTAAAAATTCAGTTATACTTAAGATCTGTAATGCAAGAAATACTGTAGTATTTCATTGAAACGTCCAAGCGTGAGTGTTGAAGAGTCTGCGTGTCCTCTGAAAGATTTAAAATTTCAGTAGTAAATGAACAGCAGTGCCAACAGGTGGGAGAAAGGTGCTTTTTAATTTTTAAAAGCACCTGAGTCGTAGGAAAACCAGCTAGTGGCAGGTGCCCAAATACCTTGATGGAGTTGGACACATTTAGGTCAAGCACTGGACGGGTGGTGGAGTCTCCATTCTCAGAGATACTCAAAACTCAGCTGGATTCTGAACACTGGAGGTCGAGCTGTCAACCTCTTGAGGCCCTTCCAGCATAGGTGCGTCTGCGATCCCTGTGGTGGCCATAATGTTGCACAGTGGCCATTTACTCTCTGCATGCAGATGTAGTACTCAATATCAGTAATGTCAACCAAACCATTTATTTAACCATGCTGTTGAGGAAAGTTGGAAATTATTTCTGTTTCTGTACCGCAGGTGAAAGCTGTGCACTGCAAAGCTGGTGATACCGTTGGGGAAGGAGATCTGCTGGTGGAACTGGAGTGAAAGGTTGCCTCCACACTGTTGAATTAGCTAAGCCTTTATTATTTTCATCTGTAAAGTAAGATTAAGGCGATTCAAAACAGAAAATGGACAGTCCTAAGCGCAAGGTTTTATACAGTCCTATTTATTGTATCAGTTGTTAAGACAGCAAACACAGATGTTAAACCTTGGCAACAGATCCCAGATTTTTACTTCCAGAAATACTTGTACATAAACTTTGTAATTCTTTGATTTTTCAGGATCAAATGAAATCAATAAAGTACCACTTCTGCTTTAAAACAGGAAAAGCCTCTTTTTTAAAAATAGAAAACACAACAAAAGCCCAAATCTGATTTGTCTTCTCCTTGGTAGTATCACTGGTTTGAGGCCGCAGCCAAACTGTACAGAATGGTTGGTAAGAGTGAAAAATTAACCACTGAGTGAACTGAGCAGTCTTGAGTAAGCGCTGAACAAGTCCTGCCGATGGCTTAAATTCTGATCAGATTTATTGTAATATTTTGAAGCTTTTTGTATACACTAGATTACAGGTTAGATGTTTTATTTTGCTAGCGCAGACTTTCCCCATGTATTTTCATTTACAGTTGTAAGGGAATTTTCTTTTATTCAGTCTCCTTACTCGTATTCCTGCCCTTTATCTTCTTTCTATTGATTACTGGATGCAAGTCTTTACAGAAGGAGCTGGCACTGTCCTTGAATCACTTTAGCTGCCCCAAAGTGTTGCTAGAAGCACTTGTGTCCTCAGGCCAAGCTTTCTCCTTAACTCTTAGAGGAAAGGGATACCAAGTGTCTGATCTTTTGTTGTGCAGAGGCTCTTACTAAAGACTGTGTGAAGAACTAGGACTGTTCATTATATGAGACTATATCCTGCTGGAAGAGCTGTGTATCCAGTATGGGAAACCAGAAAGGGCCTGGAGAGGAGGACAGTTTAAGAGACTTGAACAGAAGTGAGAGGGCTGGTGACTTGGTCAGAACAGGTAAGAAGACTGATTTTTTTTTTTTTTTTTTTTCCTCCTCACTCAGCAACTCAGTGCCAAGGATGGTGTAGATACCAGAAGTTTACTGGGTTCAAAATGTTAGTGTGTGGTTAACAGAGGCTCCTTCTTCCATTAGTTAATCTAGCTGAGTATGTCGGCAGCAGTGATACCTCCACAGTCCCTGCACGCTCTCAGCATCATCTCTGTCCTTACGCTCTTGCCTAGCCCTCTGCGGCTGCCCACTGCTGGGCCAGGACACTGGGCCACTCCTGCCTTTGATCTCACCTCCTACAGCTGTTTTTTTTTTAACATACCTCTAAGTCACCGTTCCTGCTGTGCTTTGACCACTGCCCCAGAGAAGAGGGGGCCTGCTCTCATTTTCTTGCCTAGGATGTGCAGAGTCATGCTAATTCCCAGAAAAACCCCTCTGGCCAGAGGTGCCTGGGCCCTTTACTGGAAGGTGAAGGACCACAACAGTGTGCCAGGGCTGGTGACTCATGTTCAACCAGAAAGGTTCATGATTCTGCTTGAAACTTCTGACTGAAGAGGCACTTGTCATGTTATTGAGAAGCTGCCAACTAAATCACACAGCCAAGACAGAATAATGTAGTACAAGGATCTGCTTTGTTAATTAAGTTAACAAAACCATCAAGATGAGTAAGGAGAGTGTTTGGTTAGTACCTGCCCTCCAGGAAAATTAATGCTTTTGGAGTTGGAGAAACCGAGGCAGACACCCTGCAGACTTTCCTATAGATCTCCTTAACACCATCAGCCCTTTCCAAAAGGAGCACAGTACAGCTTCTGCAGGTAGCCCTAAACAAAAACAAGTATTGTTAAGAGACAAAAGTATCCTACTTTAAAATTACTTAATTTGCTTATTGCAGCAACATAAGCTTTCTGTCTGTTCTAAATGAGATGCAGCAGTGCCTACTCCTGATAAAAGTTTAGCCTGATTCCCTACCCTGGATCCCTGGGCTGATTCCCTACCCCGCATCTCCTCTGGCCATCATAGGGCTACTGGCAATGAAGCAAAAGTACGATGTTGTTCTTGGTGGTTTCTTTAGTACATTTAATCACACTTGGGCTCACTGCGTGGCATACGTTCCCCGCTCACAGCCCTCTGGCAGCTCTGTAGACTGTACAACCTATATGTACCAATCACTGCAGCTGAAAGAATATATATAAGGCACAGTAGTGTAACAACAGAAAGCCACGATTTTCCCAGACTGTACAGAAACCAGCACAGTTGGTTGGGTCAGGGGACAATAGTCGTCTTTCCTTTTTTTTTTTTCCCCAGTTTAAATGTTGCAATAATCACACTACAGGTCCTCTGGATATTTTTTGATAATGCATATAAAATCTTTCCCCCGATAGGAAATTAAGTTTGCATATGGTTGCAAGTTCTGCATTAAAGTGCTTGGCTAAAAGTCACCTCGATAGTAAGTGCCCACAGCAGCTGCAGCTGCAGTAGTGTGGTAGGCAGCTGAAATCAGGTTTACATTTTCCTGGTCCCCAAAACCCCACCCTCCTCCACCCCCTCCCAAATCCCACAGTCACTTAGTGAACTGAAGTAGTACCTAAAGTGCTTAAAATGCTAAATTAAAAATATGCTTTTAAATGTAATTCTCTTATACTCTGTCTTCACAGTACCTTATAAAACTAAACATGTTTTAAAAATACTCCAGTTCAGAAAAATGTTGCAATACAGAGTAAGAGTAGTCTTGAAATTTTCTCTATTTCTCCAGCAATTGTATATTTGTCTCGAAGCGCATAGTATCTATATGGTCATCTCTCCCTGTTCACATTCAGTAACCTACTCAAAAGCATTACAAGTCAATATTAAATGTGAGGTGTGCAGACATGATTTCTTTTTAATCTGTTTTAGCTATTAGTGCAATAGCGTCATCATTATTCCCCCCACCTTGGAGAACTACACAAAAAAAATCTGTCAATTCAGGTAAAAAAAAAAAAAATTAGTCTCTTCATCTGCTTTTCATTGACCTCAATCATGCACTGAGGCAAAGGGGAGGGATGGAGAAAATAACGAGGCGCCGAAACCAAGGTGCACAGACACAGTTATTTACGCCTCACGCAAGCCCAGTTACTGGCGGCAGGTTAGGGGGGCGAGGAGGACGCTGAGTAGCCGGGGACGAGTCCCCATCGCTGCGCCTACAGGACTTCAGGGACTTCAGCTCTAGCACTAAGGCTGCCGGGTCGGGAAGGTTACGAGAGATCCTGTGTTTTAATAGAAAGGTATTACAGCTTTCCTGGAAAGGTTACCCATAGACGCGTGCTTAGTACTATGCCTTCGGCCGGGCTGCGCTGTCTCCCGTTTCTAATCCCGACTTTCACGTAGGACATAGGAGAGGCCGTGTTTCCCCGAGGAATCGTAACTGTCATGGTAGGGGAGGCGGACCCACTCGGGCGGGTATGTCGTTGTGCTGTACACGAAGCACTCCATAACGCCCTCAGCAGCTGCCCGCGCCTCGCCCACGCCACCCTTCCCTTCCCACTCCACCACCTCGATTCTCATCAGGGTGCGCTGGTACATGTCTGGGCAGCCTTCAAACTCATCCAGAAACTGCAGCATCTGGTCGTCAACCGAGTAAATCTCCCCAGCAACGTGGTGTCCTGTTCCCGGGATGTTCAGCATGTAAGGAATGTTGTATTTTCCTGCAATCACCAGCGGGTACTTCTCTGCCGTGCGGCCCCTTCCTTGGAATTTCGCTAGCCCCTTGGCCGAGTTGATCATGTGCTTGTAGTTGGGCTGGCCCTTCTTCAGCGTGCCGTAGACGAAGACACGAGCCATCGTACCTGCAAAAGCACCTGAAAGACAAAGGCGTACGTTACCCACGTGGCTGCTCGGCCCAACACTGGAGAAGCACGCCCGTGCCAAGATGTGTTGTACGCACAAGACTCTTCAGGATCCAAACCTCATTTCTTTTCCTTCACACCTGAGCCATGCTGCAGGAATTGTGATGTCATGCTCAGTAACACCTCAAAAGCAACCCAGGGAGCCACCTCCGTGATGGAAACATGCTCCACTTGGCACATCCTTTATGGAGGGGTAAAAAAATTAACTTAAAAAAGTCATGGTTCAGCTCAGCTATGCAGACACTTTCCTGTGCTCCTCCACTGCATTTATGGTTTAAGTAGCCCAGCTCAAGCAGGGTTATTAAAACTTTCAGGAGTGAAGCCACAGGTAGTTTGTTTTCCCTTGCTGGGGTGGTGCAGTGGTTTTTTAAAGCCTGAACTGGTGGACGTGGTCGCACACTACGTGGGACAGCCGGCATTGCCGCCTCTGGGTGCGGTCCAGCGTGCCCTGCCTGCTTCCCTCCCTCTTCTCCTCAGGCTCTCTTTCCGCTGCGACCGCACTCAGTATTTGAGAAACAACATTTTATTCAGTGACAGAGAAGCCTGGAGGTTAGGAGTGTCTTCTTGTTTCATAGTAAAATAAAGCACAGTGGCATTAATTATTCAAAAGCAAATTAATGGATTCAAACTTCTGGTCCTGTTGCGCTACAGCTGCACGCATTCAATGGTATTCTTTCGAAAAAGTCATAATAAAAAAAAAGGGGAAAGAAAAGCAAGCGGCACAATGCTAGTAGCTGCAGCAACCTAACTACGTACAAACACCCCATCCCTGGAAGTGTTCAAGGCCAGGTTGGGTGAGGCTTTGGGCAACCTGGTGTAGTGGAAGGTGTCCCTGCCCATGGCAGGGGAGTTAGAACTGGATGATCTTTAAGGTCCCTTCCAACCCTAACCATTCTATGATTCTATGAAACTGGGACATCACTGAGATGAACAGAAGACCTGTCTCTCACGAAGAGGGATGAAAAGGCTTTAACGTCAGAGCACCATGAGGCACGCTGGCGCAGCAGCAGAGCAAGTTTAACCTGGCGTCGAGTCATTTCACAGACACGCTGAAGGATTTTGGGCAACCCCAGCGCCAAGGTCCCACTTGCTGACTGACAAATGCCAAGGAGCAAGCTGTGGCTCTGGGGAGAGAAGCAGGGTGGCCTGCAGCAAACACGTCCCAGGCGAGTGGGTGCTGTCTGCAAGGTGCCATGGCCAGCGCAAGGACACGTTTGTCCTTCTCCTTCTGGGGACAGGAAGGACAAGGGCTCTCCTCACTGATAAATCTTAGGTGATTACCTGCTCTACAAATGAGGTTTCTGTCTTCACAAGCACCTTCACCCCTCCTGTCCGAGGGAGGTGTACACATTTGTTTGCATTTATTTACCTTGGGGATGCGGTATTTCAGCCCTAAGAAAACTGGCTGCTGGCAGAACGGCCAGGTACCGCTGTGCTCCTCCCCTCGCCACCGGATACCCTAAAGTGCTAACCTACCTGAAGTAGCCCATCTCACATGTGGTCTTGAAAACAGACCTTGAATGAATTTGTTCAACGTTTGTTTCATCTGTGAGGACAAACCACTCTAAATTGGTTTAAATGGGATAAAAGGCTGGCTTTACTGAAAAGTAGGGGGGAGAAAAAGGTACCATCATCGTTCCTGAGTTATTTTTGACAGTGTGCCCCATATATTCCCCATCATTTCTGTAGGGCAGAAGCAGTTCTGGAACTGTTTGATGGTTTCCCACGTTTTGCCCTGGGTCATTGAGTGGGCAGAGCCTGCCTCACCCACAGCGGTCTGCCCGGTCCCGATGCCCGGCAAGCAGAGGGGCACATGTGGCTACTTTTGGAACAAGGGTCATGAAACCACGTATTTCAAATTTGAACAAATCTTTTTGTCATCTCTTTTCTGCTGTTTACTCTCATTTTAGCAAACTGTTAGATCATGCGGGTTATCCAAAAGGGTACCTTGCTGGCCAAGAGGAGCGTCGTTTAAAATACTCAATAGGAAAGTGATTTTCCCCTTGCTGAAGTAAAGCGTTTTTCTAACAGAATACAGTTTTCCAAGCAAAAACGGTGTGTGCCTTTATTTACTGGCAAACTGCTTTCACTTAAGGAAAAAAGACCATGCTGATTTTTTTTCTCCCCCCACCCCTGTATTTTATCAGATATACTTCAGCATAATTTATCCTTCATGATACGAGTATTTTTGGATGCGGCTCATTCCCTCACAATAAAAAGAGCATTAATATTCAGTTGGTCTGACTCTCTTTTTTAAGAAAAATCATTACCTTTCAGATTGTGTTTTGAATAACAAACACAGATCCTTCAGGAAGAAGCTTGTCCCAGTGGGGATTGAGAAGGATCAGAGTTAAGCACTGAAACATGCAATTAATTCCCATTAGGGGATTAGGGCACTCATGTTCACTTTGAATCAGAAAAATGAATTGTGAATTAAATTGTTCACAACCAAGAGGTTACTTGTCAGAGTTAATAAGTTAAAAAATAAAAAGGGAAACCTAAAACGCACATTAAAAAGCTCAATAGCGAGTGGTGCATCTGCAAGAAAAAGATACGCTTCATTTCCATTAAACAAAAGCTCTGGCCCTACTGTACAGCTGGAGATAAGCTGCCAAAAAAGTTTGCAGGGAAGAGCGTTACCCCTCCTGAAATGGGTGAAAACGAAGTACGGGCTTCCGATGGCGCAGCAGTCAGCTGCTTTTGGAAACGTTACTGATTTAAAGCAACACATCCGTCATCCTTGTCATCAGAATTCAACAGCAACAAACGTCGCCAAGCCAGGTTTGGGTAAGTGTTTGCGATTTATCGCT